TGTAAACTTAGTTTTGGAAGAAACAAAATAAGAGATCAAATGTACATAAGTGTTTATGGATAATGTAGTAGTTCATTACAAAGACATATATTACATTCTGATTTTCATAAGCTTTCATTATATTTTTAACATAGAAATATGCATGTTCATTAATTTCTTCAGATAATGAGACAACATGTAGTTAAGTTCTTTTCTATAAGTCAAAGTAGGTCATAACTTAAATGTATCTAGAAAAATTTTTCCAACATTTATCGCACATATCCTTAATGAATAAATATAAAATGCATTATGTATAGTAGTAATATGATCTAAAAATAGTAACATATAAGTAGACTTTTCTAACAAATAAAATTTCATGAGAAGCCATAATAATATTTAATGACACACGTTATTATAAAAAACTCAATAAATGAACCATAGTCTTTCCAACTACTCCAAAATAAATACTCTTATTATTAATAAATCCTCCAATATATGAATAACTACTTTAGGACTATCCAATAGTGTACATGTCAAATGTTATACTAAAATTCTAACTAGTACTCAATCATTCTAACATATCCCCTAAAAATATTGATGTAAATGTTAACTTCATTTTGTAATGAGATTAACATCATTCTCATGTTCTTAGCCTTAGTCTTTAGTATGTCTTCCTTAATATAGGGCTTCCCCTCATGGGTGAATTCTCAAGGACTTAGTTATGGATAGTTATAAAAAAAACTAAAACGCTAGGGCACCCCACAACCTATATTGAGCCCTTGAGACCCTTATGCTAAGTTAAACTCTAATTTGGCTCAGATGATATCCAAGACCCTTAGGAGTCTACCATAAACTTTCCTTAGTTCATTAAAAGCCTTCTTAATTTTTTACAAACCTATTTGTAATAAGCTGAAGTCAAATTTAAAATAAAAAACCCAAAAGAACACTTAAGTGAGTTTTAGGATTCGATTGAACCATCAATTGTTCAATTAACTCTATCCATTGCTACAATGCTTAGTCCATTTGCAATAACATGAAGTAAACCAGGTAAGAATTATATTTAAGTGTTAATGGATTCCTATGAATTTGATTTTAGTAGAAAAATTTATAACTGGAAAAATTTTTAGGAGTACTGTGAAGCTAAGCTCCATGTCTGGATGAACAAAATTTAAGTCCCTTGAAGCTCTGCAACACTACATCGCTAAGATTTTTATTTATAAGAAATTTTTAGAAACAAAAATTCATTGGGAGCACAATGGCACTGGGTAGGTCAGCATCGTGATGCTAAGTAAATTTTAAGATTTGTATAAAAATATCTACAAATATTAACCCAACACCCCATTCATAATTTCCATTTGCTAGAAACACCTGAAGAGGAGCCATAGAGGAGAAAAATGAAGAGAAAAAGGAAGCTAGGATTAGGAGATCGTGGAGCCAGATTTGTCCTTCACACCAATTAAAGAAATTATTTGTCTCGAGGTAGATTTCTTTTACCCTACTTAGTTTTTAATTTGGATAAATTGGATAAAAATTACAAAGATTTATTTGATTTAAATAAGATTGGGCAACTTTTTATTATATAACTTTTGGCGTGTCATAGAATAGATGATTCTAAACATTTTGACATGAAAAACTCAAAATTTTCGCATGAGAACTTTAAATATGCGGGTTTCATGTGTTTGACTAATTATTTTAATTTTAATAAAAAAATTTATAGAACTGTAAAAGTCCCCCAAAAAATTTATAAATATTCCATGTGAATGATTTTCTGAATTTTTATTATTGCGAGTATGTGCAAGTTCTACTCCATGCATACTACTGAAATTATTGTATATGCTACTTTCATGTATCCATGCATCATTTTAAATGTCATTCATGCATGTTAAATGTGTCAATGTTTCTATATCAATGTGATGAAATTTACACATCATGTTTATGTGTGGAGAGAAATTAAGTGATACAAGTGGAAGTTGTGTCATGTTCTATGCAATATAAGTGGAATTATAATGTCCCGAGCACATATGAATTTCATCTATATATTAGTCTTGAACATGTGTGATATCATCAAGTGGAGGTATAGGTAGAAGTGGAGATATAATAAGACTTTGGGACATGTATATTTGAATCATGTTTTGCATAATTTGCATACAAGTTATCCATTTCACTCTAAAGTTACGCCCAAGTTTAAATGAAGTTCATGTTGTTGCCACATACAAGTTTAAGAATGGATTACGCTGTTGCTTTTGATAAATCCATATAACTAACATGTAACCATTTTTAATAATAAAGTGTACTATTGTAATTATGTTAGTAATAAATATTATATAATTGCCACATCACTTTAATTGAATTATAAAATCTTTTTTTCTTATGCAATTTATTTTAAGTATGCATATCGAATTCTTTAGTAGGTCTTGGGTAGCCTACTAAGCAAGTGGTTTGCTCACCCTACATATTTACATGTTATTTCAAGAAAGGGCAAAGCCCCACTATAGTAGAGAAAATGTTGATAAAGCCAAAAATTCCTATTGTAGGTACATTTCTCTTTTTAGAATTTTTCGTTATAATATATTTATTATGTATAGGGGTTGATATGAGGGAAAAGTTATTCTCGATTATTGTATATGACTTTTTTGAAGAAATACAAATTGTTTATATTTTTGAAATTAGATGTTTAGTTGGCTTTGGATCTTTATTTATTAATGATGAGTTAAGTATGAATATAAATAATTCTTTCAATTATATCTAACGGTGTAATAGTTTAGAAGCTACCTAAGTACCCTAAGATATTGACTAGTTACCCTAGATATGTAGTGGACCCCTTTGGTTAACCTTAGATCAACCCTAAGTCATACCCTCAAAGTCCCAAAAATACGCATAATGCCCTAAACCCTATGACCCATCCTTGGCGGCACATGACACTAGGATTTACCCTAGAAACCATTAACTTGCTCTTGGACCTAACCCATGGGTTTAGGAGTTTTGGTCAACTCATTCATTTAACCTATGGTCAAGATGAGTTTGACAAAGGTCACCTTTAACTTAAAATCCTTAAAATCAAATCTAAAAACCTAATCTAAACCCAAAATTAAAAGCATTAAGTTTAGGTGATATTAATCGATTTTAAGAACACAACAACTCATGCTTGACCCATAGTCAAGTTCCCTTGACCAATGCCAACTTAAGTTTGACCAAAACCTTGAATTTTTTAAAATTAAATGTAAATATCTAATTCATGCCTAATTGCCTTATCATTGAGCCAAAGTAATATTACCTATTTTAAAGACATTTAAACTCATGGTTAAATGATGTTCAAAGCCCCTTGACTATGGTAAATCATATTTTAACTAACTTTGCCAGGTGAGCCTCCTTATACACACTTCAATCAAACGAATCAAATCAACTAAAAACTTCTCCAAACTTTGCACAAATCTCTCAAAGAGCCTAACATAGTCCTCATAAGTGGCCCAAGTCCCTTGGGCTAGCCCAAGCAGGTCATACCTCTTGACCGAACTCTATCAAAAACCAATTCAAACTTCTAAGCTTAAACCACTCTAATATGGCTTGCTTATAGTTCCTGAGTCCACCCTAAGGCATGCCAAGTCAACATGCTAGGTAGTCGATATAGCCAAGGTCCACAACATCAAAATATCTCACTACCCATACATACTTTCTCATGCACTATCAACCCTAAAAATGGCTAGATACACCTATCCCATTCCCAATGGTTGAGTCCTAAAAGGCTGTAGTAGTTGGCATCAATTCAAATCTTCCTATAAATAGACCTACTTAGGGCTCTATAAATGTGAGAAGATCGAGCTTCGGAGAGGCATTGATGTAGCCATCCTCAATCTAAGTCTCATTCATGAGATTTGGTTGTTGTGGTTAATCAAACTTGTTCAACACTCAATTTGATCCTAAAGCCTTTGGAACCAAATATGCCCTAATAAAAAAATAAAAAATAAAAATAAAACTTGATTTCACATATTATGAAGCCAACTAAGTTCCCTTGAAGATCTAGTTGGTGGATTGTGCATTCTCACTCTTCTGATCCTTCTTGATCGCTCAGGTGGAGAAGATCACCTTTAATCACTCTATATCAAAGGAGTTTTAATCCTTGTTTTTTGTTCCAAGTGAGATACAATAGACGACTGAATTACTATACACTCTATTTGAATATAATGGATGACACATATTTCAATGTATGTCAAACTATATATCCATCCCATGTAATCATAAGGATCAATCCTTGGTGTCCTATCCAAATTTAGATCACCTTAATACAACCTTATGTGGAATATGAGACCCACTCCCTAGAGCACTATCCAATTAAGTGTCATCGCACATAAATGACATACTATGTCAGGGCCATTTTAAGAAAATCAAATTTAGGATATTTATTAAATTAGAATGAATCCCAAAAATTTAAAATTTATAATTAATTCAATTTTAATTCAAATTGACTTATGAATCCTCTATGGATTAAAAAAATAAGGAAAATTAATTGAACATAGTTTCAAATGTGTTTGCTTTAATCTTTGCACAAATTATTTTAACGACATGTCATAAAGTTAAAAAATGATAATTAATCTTTTTAATTACTTCTGACCGTCTTTAAAATCATATGAAGAATTTTTTGACGTGTCTTAAATTTTTGAACTCTTTTATATGAATGCGCGCAATATTTTATCTTTTCAAATCAAGTACTCTTTATTCATAGATAAACCACATCAACTCCTATATTTTGAAATCAAATTTAATTATCATTTGCTTTCCTTTCAATTAAATATTTAAATTTTCAAATATTGTATATTTGATTTATTTAACACAAGATTTTTTTAAAGAAATAGAGAACTAGCTGTGGGAGAGGAGACCCTCCTCCCTCTGCCAATGGCGCGAAAAAAGCGCCATGGCAGAACCGTGAATAACTGATTAAATCCTGGGCGTTTCGCATAGCAAAAAATATATAAAGAATTGAAAGATGTATCTATATAATATCATGTGTAATTTAGTGCTATATATAAATAATAATAGCTATGTAGAAATAGAAATTGGGAGTTAGAAGTATCACAGGAGTTCTTACGAACCTCTTGTGGAAAAACGGGAGGGCGGGCGTGTGAATGCCTGCGGCGCTTCTTCTCCAATCGCTTTTAATTTATTCTCTCTTCTCTTTTGGTTTCTCGAGGGCGACGCAACGTTTTCACCGGCCTCGTACATCCTTACCGCTCCAGTGCTCCACTATCTCAGTCTGCTCGTTATTTTCTACTCTCCAAAATATTGCAGAATCTCCCTTGCTTGCTCGTTATATCCTTTATCTGAAGAAGTGCGGCGCTTTTCCCTCTCTGGAAACCGTTGCAAAGCCTGAATAGAGAGATCGGGGTTGTCGAATTTAAGCATCGGAAGGCATGATTTTTTCACTCTTGCAGTCTTGCTTCATAGTAATGTTCTTTCCGTTTGTAAATTTGCTTGCTTTCCTTCTTGTTCTTCCGGAAAACTTCGGCGGCCTTTTTGTGTTTGATCTCTGTTGATGTATTTTGTCCCGTCTTTTCCCTGGTGGGGTTTGATTTTTATTTTTTGTTTGCTCTTTGCTTGTTGCTAAGTCCCAACTCCCAATGTTGCTTGTTAGGGGTTTTCTGATTCGTTTTTGTGCTTTGTGGTCCTAATTGTCTTGTTTGTATCCGCATTGCCGTGATTTTGATGGAAAAATCAGTGGAAACAATTTTCGATGTTCGTTGATGATCAAGTTTTCATCAGCGTTTAAAAAACGCCTGTTTATTTTTTTCCTTGTTGTAGGCCAAAAAACCAGAGCTTGAATAAAATGTTGTTCTGTCTAGTAGTTCTTCAATTTAGAATTTAATTATTTTAATCATTGGTTGTTTTTCTTATGTCTACTTTCAATTATTTAGTTGTTTCTGTGTAACGTGTAATAATGCTATTTTTGCATTATCCCAAAATATCATTTTTTTCGATAATTTTCAACAATTTCATTCATGCAGGGTAAAGGTTGATTCGTAGTATGGCAAGTGGCCCAACCATTTGTCAGATTACACCATCAGCGCGATTAAGTGGGATTAAGTTTGAATTAATGACTGGAGAAGAGATGGTACACAATTCTCCCTCTTTTTTGGGCACCGCATTAGTTAAAATTCACCACAAATTCCTTTCGTTCTCTACTTCTTGATTATTTCAGTAACACTATCATGGTCTGTGGCCATTGTTTAGGAGCTGTTTAGCAGTGTTAGTATTCTAGAAGTCAATGATTTGGTGGATGCTAAATTGGGTTTACCAAGCACAAGTTCTCAATGCTCAGCATGTGGGTCAACAAATGTCAAAGATTGCGATGGTGAGCTTTTATTGTGATAATAATTGAAAGAAAATTTCCCTGTTTATGCTTTTTTGCGTTTACACACACCATGCTTTTTCTCAGGACATTTTGGAGTTATCAAGCTCCCTATTTCTGTTTATCATCCCTACTTTCTTCCAGAAATTGTTCATATTCTTAATCAAATATGTCCTGGATGCAAATCCTTTCGGCATGAGTCACGAATTAAGGTCAGGTATTATCTAGAATGCTATAAAATTTGACAGTTTTCTTCAGACTCTTTATATCTAATAAAGTATTGATTTTCTTTAGGTCATTATATGTCTAGGATATCTAGACATTTGAGGAGTTTCACCCTAGATTTGCTTTGTATCGGACTCTCTACCTGTGTCTACTCTTGCATGTGCTTGTTAAGCTGTTGAGACATTTACAAAAGCCTATGTTTTTGTTATTATGACGACTCTGATATGGTTTTTTGGAAGTCTTATGCCTTATGACAAATTGACAACCCAGTATTGTTACTTTTTATTTCCAAAAATAGGTACACTTCAGTTTAAATGATATTTGATGAATGGTATATATATGTTCTAGTTTTTCAAATTTAGACTTCTTTTGGGACGGCTTTCTTGCTGCTTTTTAAAACAGTTTTTTAGTATAAAAATTAAAAATATTGTACTAGAAAGCTGGTTCAAGAAGCAGTAAGAAAGCCGTCCCAAACGAATCCTTAATCTTTCTTGGGCAATGATTAATTCTATTAGAAACCTTCTCTGATGCTCAAACTCTTATGTTACCTGACTTTTAATATTGTATTTTTTGGTTGTGGTTGTAGATTATGCTGATGATATTGGTTGTAATCTCAATTTCTTAAAATGTTTTAAAGTATTCTTTATGGTTAGCTTAAGAGCACATAATGCCATGTTATTGCTGATTGATATTTTGTTCCGCTTATCTAATTAATTTTTGATGGTGGGTATAAGATTACATGCAACGAACATTCATGCTTGAAAAGTATATGTTACAATGATTGCCAAGAAATATATTAGAATTATTTCATTTGGAAACTTTTATGTTTAAAAAGTTTGTAGTAGCTTGGTCTATTTTGTGGGTTTCCATTGTTACACAATGTTTTGTTTGGCATGCATCCTTGAGTCAACGCAACCTTGTTTGCATGAATGTGCCTTTGCTCTTTCCTGCGTGCATGTGCACATGACACATCTATAGTAGCATCCATGTGCATGCTCACTTTGATGCCCCCGATAAACATGAACTAGCTATCAAATGTGCTTCCCATATGCCTGCTCTAGTCTACTTTGACTTGTGGTTCACCTACTAGCTAGGGTGAGCATCAGATTTAGGTTTCGTTTGGGGCACCTTCCTTACTGCTTTTTAAAGCAATTTTTTAGTACAAAAATTTAATTTTTGTTCTAAAAAACTATTTTAAGAAGCAGTAAGAAAGTCATCCCAAACAAATTCTTAATCAATTAATATTTTGATTAATTTGGGCACACATGCACCTACTAGTTCAAACATTAGCTTGAACCAGTTGATATTTGAATCAATATGGCCAGCCCAGTAGTTGGGGCCAAATTGAATCAACCTTTGCTGGTCTGAGCAAAATATTTGAGATTGATGACTTAAAAAAGGCTCCAATTGGTAATCTTGTGCTGTTTGTTTTGAAATAAAGTCACCATACTACGATGGAGATTGGTTTTGCAAGTATGTTATTCATAGTTGTGAAACAATGGAAGGAAGTGATGTTTTTGTAATATATCACTTTCTGCCTAATATTTCCTGTGCAAACCAAATTTTGATGTGCTAATTTTTAGAAAAGCATAGTAGATGAGAAGTATTAGCAATTTAGGTCTAAAATATGGCATGTATGTTAGCTTTTAATCTTTTCTAGAAGTTAATGGACTTTTTAATGCTATGAGATTTTGCTTGTATCTATACTAGTATTATAAAAGTGGCTTGTGATTCTCCCATCATGAAATTTTAGCCATTCATTTAAGTCTTTTCTTTTGAATCTCAATCATTCAAATTATTTATTTCAAAATTTATGCAATTAAACATTTGAAACATCATGATTTTATGTTTTGATATTAAAATAATGTTTTATAAAAAAAGTTTTTATTGTTTTAAAAATAAGTAAATAACATACTCCTCAACATTTTTAACATTAACATTTGAAACATAATGGTTTTATGCTTTAATATTAAAGCAACGTTTCATAACTTAAGTGTTTATGATTATAAACATAACACATAATTATCAAAAGAATCACAACACTAATTTAAAACAATCAAATTAAACATAACTTGTTTATAATTACTTCATATACAAGTTATATAGATAATTAAACATGAGGATTCAAAATAAGTTATCAAAATCAAAATTATTTGCTATTTAAATTATTTTAAATGTTATTTTATGAGTGTGTTTATATTGATTATTTAACCGAACATTTCAAAGAATAACATTTAAAACAATCATGTATGTATCTTCGAATTTGTCGTGCTTTATTGTTTACTTTATCATATTTATTTATATATATTTTTGCGGTTTGATTCTACATCTCTCTGACAATTCGTTTGACCTGATTCTACATTTGTCTGGCAAATCGTCTGACCTGAAATAGTTGATAAATATTTTTGATCAATCATTTGTAATTTATATCTACATTATATTAATTGATATGTGAAGTTTTAAACAGAGAATGATGGTTTTCCTTCACCCTTTCGTTTGATCATGATATTTTAATTTTCTTTTCAGCTTTATTATAAGAATCATTCTTTTTTTATTGATATTTTAAGTTTATACTACCATGCAATTGGATCACTTACACTTAAACTTACATTTTGTGTAATTCTTTATACCGGCATGCAGTTAAATTATACTTGTTAATTTATTCCACTCATTTAGAAAATAATTACTTATTTTTCATTCTTTATTTATCACTATTAGCTTTTGTTAATAATATTAGCATATAAATATTTATTTTACCTCTAAAATTAGTTAATTCATATCTCAACAATATTATTTATTATTTGACTATTGTTTTCCCAACAATCTAAATCATATGAAATCCTAGCTATTCATTTAAGTCTTTCTTTTGTTTTTCAGCCAATTAAATTTATTCATTTTAAAATTTATTCATGCAATTGAACATTTGAAAGGTTTTTATGGCTCTCTTGCTTTAATATTTCAATAAGGATACAATGGGAAAATTGATTGGCACATTGCCTTCGCTCTTCCTGTAGAAATATGCCGGTTGTGAGTTTCATTAAGAGTTATAAGAATGCAGATTTTTCCATGATTTTATTAATATGAGGTGTTTTTTTTTTTGTAAAGGAATTCAGATTTTTTTTTTCTTTTTTTCTTTTTTGGTTTCTCGACCATAGCTTATTTACATAAGGCTAAAATGTCATATTTGTAATATAATTTCAAGATTTTCTTCCAAACTTGTTTTGATTATTTTTATGGTATTATTAATTCTATTAAGAAAAAAAAATATGTTTTTTATTGTCAAATAACAAAGTTATGCTAATTTATTTTGTCAATTATGGTTTTAAAAAATATAATCCAAGTTTTTATCAGTATTTTAATTGTTACAGTTATTTGTAATGATAACTTATTACTTTAATTTCTTATTAAAAAAATATTAATTAAAGACAGTTTAAAATATCAAAAATATCTTTTTTTTTTCATAAATTTATTTCACGTCTAATTGATACATGTGAGATTATACTAGTACTAAAAAAGATTGCAAAGATGCTAAGTTGGGCACAAATAGCATTATCCTAACGCAGGCACTGCATCTCTTCACTGTAACCTTATGTTTTATCATCACGAATAAGATCCTTTTAATTCAGGCATCGTATTTTAGCTTTTATTTATTTTTTGCTTTTTGGGTTTATTTACATACTGTTCTCCCAATTAGCTATCCTAACACGTAATGCATGCACTTTTATTAGTACTACCATTAAGAATCACCAGCTTGCTAACTTTCTTCTTTCAGAGACGACTCATTCATTCGGTTCGGAAGAAATTACTGAGATATATTAGGTTGAGGCTATCACGTTTGACTAGAAAGGTTCTATCTGGTGACTTGAAGGATGATATTTCATACTTAAAGATCAGAAAGGTGATTGCTTAATTGATTGCAATTTTATTAGAATTCTTCCTTATTTTAATTCATTTGGTTGTTGTGAGAAGTTGAAGCTGATGATAAAAATCCAGAAACTTATTATCTTTAACAAGCAACTCGAAAATCTAGTACTGCTAAATTTGAGTTCTGACTTGCAATGATTGTATTAATTTTCCGTATTTCAAACTATTGAATATATTATCCTTTGGATTATAAATGCAACTTTACTAGTCATTTTAATTTCTGAGGTTGCTCTTCAAAATCTTATTTTGTTTGAATATTTTAATTCCTTATATTTATTAAAATTTTATTAATGTGTAAGTCAATATTACTTCAGAGAATTATATGATTGCCTAGCTCCCCTGTTTTAAATTTGACTACTGACATTTTTCTTCTGTTTACATGGTGGATGCTGAATAGCAACTTATTCTATTCAATTGTTTGTAGGGAGAGAATTTGAAAGAAATGCATCTTATTGAATTATTTTCTAGCACAAGCATATATGTGCCACCTATATATAGGCGAGAGAACATAATATAAAGAAAAATAAATAAATAATAATATACAAAATAATGTGAAAATATTACATTAATGAATAACGTGAATTTCTATTATAAGCAAATTAGTATATGTGATAATTTATATATAGTAATGCTCTCTCACAACCCCAATGTGATATAGAAGATATCAATTTTAATTTGAAAACATTTGTGACTAGAGATAAAGTAGTCGAAGTTTTTGTTGGCTTGGGATTTGTTAATATTGCAAAAGTAGTGTTATCTATTCAACAAAGATAATGTGAATCAGGTGCAACTAATTGATAATGAGATTTATGTAATAGAATACAGGTATATGATTCTTCTTGAGTTGAGGTATCAATCGAGAGTGTTGACAAAGGATTTTGTCAGAGAAAGTCGACGGAGTGTTGATGAAGTGTATTGATAGAGAACATACACATAGTGAGGACAGATGCTATTAGCACAATCATTCTTGGACAACAAAATAGATCAAAGAACTATACAAAATAGAGAAAGAAAACAAGTGGCCTAGTAGCCTATGACGAAGATTAGAAGCTTTGAGAGGAGATTGAAATGAAAGCAAAAAGATGGATGAGTGGATTTATGCTATACTATATGTTAGAGTTTATGGACAGTCATATGGATGGTTTAGAGTCATAGCTTTGGTGCCATGTTGTGTGTAAAGAGTAACATCTTTACTACATTATTTTGCTGTACAAGCATTTATGTGCTTAAATATAAATAAGATAATAGAATATAAAGACAACAATAACGACAACAAGCCTTTATCACACTATATTGGGTCAGCTACATGAATCATTTTTCTCCTTTGTGTCTTATTAAGAGTGTTGTGGATGGAAGTAAAACACCGCAACGAAATAAACAATAAAGTAAAAGCAACACAAAGTAAATGACACCATAATTTAACGTGAAAAAAACTAAAATCGGGAAAAATCACAGAGCCACACTACACTAAGAAATCCACTATGAAAATTGGGGGATCTCTCTTTTCTCTCATTCTCTCCTTGCTTCTTCTCTCTTAACACCATTCTCTCTATCCCAAAACACATGAGACAGACAAGCCAATTACACCAAGGGATGCCACCATTGAGAAAAATGAGAAAGAAAAATTGTTTAGTCCACATCGCAATGCTGTGGCACCAATTTGGAGCGTTGTGGCTCTCAGACCTTTGATCCCGATCCGTCTGCTGATGCCGCGACACTACACATCATTGTGACGCCGAATCTAGATCGCAACGACGCTCTGCTCTCTGTCGTTTCTCCCAACAAACTCTGCAATGCTTAGTGCTTGGGTACATCGTTGGGATGCTGGGTACGCAGCGCGGGGGCGTTGTATGAAATTTTTGGTAAGATCGAATACTTATACTCTCCTAACAAGGTCATCGAAATGCTGACGTTTTATGTGACAAAATCATCTAAGACGTCTCTCTCTAATCTTATTTGCCATTGGAGCTGCTCCAACCTTTTCACGTATATACTTGTATCATATTATGTTTCTAAGTATAAAGGCACTCATCCACCCGAGCATCATCATCTCTGCAACACTTAACTTATTCTAATGCATCCCTTTTTAAGGCCAACATTCTGTGCCATAAAACATTGTTAGCCTCACCACCATCTTATAAAATTTTCCCTTAAATTTTAGAGGGTATTTTCCTATTACACAATAGGCCCGATGCATTCCTCTATTTCAATCATCCAACTTGAATTCTACTAATGATATCCCTATCTATTTTACAATTGCTTTGAACAATAGACCCCATATATCTAAAATATGCACTTTTCTTATGACTTGATCACCCAATGTCACAATCCCACCACTAGATCCATTACTATTAAAATTATAATCCATGTATTTGATTTTAGATCTACTCAAACAAAAACTTTTAGACTCTAAAGTTGGCCTATATAATTCATGTTTTTCATCAACTTCCACTCTAGTCTTATCAATAAGAAGAATATCACCAACAAAAGCTATACACCAAGGTACATCCTCTTGCAAATGTTTAGCAAGAACATTCATGACTAAAAGAAAAAAATATGAGCTTAAAGCTGAATCTTGATGTAATCTAATCAAAATAAGAAAATACTTGGTCAAACCACCTTGTGTTTGAACGCAAGTAATAACTGTTGCATACATATACGTAAGATTTGAATATAAATATTATTAACTTCTTTCTATTTTAGAACTCTCTGGAGCACTTCTCTTGAAGCTTTATCATATGCTTTCTCTAAATCAATAAGTATCACATGTTGATCCTTCTTATTCTCTCTATACTTCTCTATCAAACCTCTCAACAAATGTATAGCTTCCATAATTGACCTACTCAGCATAAATCTAAATTGAGTTTGAGAAATATAGTATCACGTCATAACTTATGTTTCAACTCTTTCTTATAATTTAATGTATGACATATTAAGTTAATTCAACTATAATACACACACTCTTACGCATCACTTTTATTCTTAAAAATAGAAATCAACCCACTCCACCACTCATCTGACATCTTTTGTCTTCAAAATAATATTAAAAAAAATTAGTAAACCATGAAATTTTTTGATATCCTAAGCATTTTCATACTTCTATCATCTGGTCCTACTTTTCCACACTTTACTTTCTTTAAAGCCTCTTCAACTTCAGATTTATTAAAGAATATAGAATAATAAGGAAAAAATAAATAAATAGAATATAGTTAATAATATTGAAATATTTTAATAATTAATAATGTAGATTATTATTACAAATAAATTAGCATGTTGATAATTTTGATATGATAACATTTATCATATAGAAGGAATTCCAATGTCCTCTCCATTTCAAAATTTCAATATATGTCGCGAAGCGGACACAGGAGATGCCGCGCAGCCTGCGACGTGACGCGGGTCGCACCGCGACGTGGCGCGGGTCGCACCGCGACGTGACCTGGGGCAGCGGGCAGCTCGGGTTGGTGGCCTAGGGCAGCGGGCAAGGGGCAAGGGCGGGAATCAAAAAATTTTAAATTATACGGGTTTTCGGGTTGACCCGGTAACCCGTCGGGTCAACCCGAACCCGACCCGTTTTTGCAAACGGGTCGGTTTACCGGACCCGAACCCGACCCGCTTCGGGTTCGGGTCAACCCAAACCCGAAAATTCCGGGTCGGGTTCGGGTCGGGTTTTCGGGTCGGGTCCAATATTGACAGGTCTACTGCACACTTCGAGTGGTCTAATTGAGGCATATGCCTCACACTTTCTTAAGGCTCGCCTCGCCTTAAAAGCTTGAGTTTCATGCCTCTAACAAATATTTTGTTTGTTGAAACTAAATGGTTAATACTTAAATAACCTAAATACACACAAGACAATAGTAGCCTGTGCCCGAGACTTGTTCGTACCATGAAGCTAGTGGTGAATCCTGTACTCCCCTCCCGATATTTCTAGCCATTTCCGGCACTGTCAAACTTGTTGTCAACGAGTTCTCCTCATACTACTACCATAGTTTCCCTTTTCCACAAGTAATCTCCCTTCTACATTAAATTTTCTTCTCTAAATGGTTAATATGTATGGAGTCTTAATTTCTTTGGTTTGAGTCAATTTAATTTCTTTAAATGGCTTTAGTTAAGCTATTTACTTATTTGAAGGTTCATATGCTTTTAAATTTGAATAAAATTTTCCATTCTAGGGTTTTGGACAAAGTGACTAGAGGCAAGAAAAAATCCACATCAAGTCATAAGAATGATCGGGCGTGGAAACATAACTTTCATGTTGACGTAGGAGGAAACTATAAAATATATGTAACAATCTAATTGAAGGTGATGTTATAATGATGAAGAAACACTTCTTTAGTTCCAATAAAAATGTGGCATCATGTGTCGAAGTGCTAGAAACAGTAAAAGAGGAGATCCGATCATACATGTATAAGTTGACGGTGTTAAAGCATTTGGTGCAGCTAAAATTCGATGATAGAGTTAATGTCAACTCATACTATGAGAATGAGCGTAATGGCAGGGATTCATTATCATCATTGCCACTTATATTTAGTAGGGGGTGCAAGAGGTCTTATGGATCATTACATGATCAATTTGGAGGATGGTAGGCCATGAACACAATGAAACGAATAAGACAACCTGGATATGAGACACGCTAATTATTGAAAATATACAATATATAAACAGCTTGAACACAAACATTATAATTTTTATATCATAAAAATAGTGCATACAAATTAAATAAGCATGATAAAGAATAATAAATAAATGATATGTCATTGAACTCTAACATTAGCTTCACAAAATTGAACGGTTCATAAATATTTATCCAGCTTATCATATTAAAAAAATAAGCATAAACTATCTAGTATAACATTGATATTCAATTGTTAGTTATTCACTAAAAGGAATAATAGGGTTAGCTTCATCATCATATATTTGTCTTTGGCCTTAAAGATTATCATTATTAAATACCAATTCTTTCAATTGTGGCTT